GGTGACCTCGATCACTCATAATGTAACTTTAATGTTTGACGAAATAAATTATTTATTATTATTATTATCGGCACAAAGCTCTCTGTAAAACCATCTGGCAGTAGAGCTTTTTGGTCTCTCGCCAAAGCGAGACAAACTGCTGTCGGTCTACACTGCCTCCGCTGGTAAAACCAGATGGCTCACTGACGCATGCACCTAAGGAGAAAGCGGACTTATTTGCTTCTCTTTTTGCTTGCAATTCGCGTCTGGACAGTAGCAACAGCGTACCATCTCAATTAGCTCACTGCGGTACCTCTATGTCTGAGGTTCGTATCACCAAAAAGGAGGTTCTTAAAACCTTGTGAAGTCTAGACGTGTACAAAGCTAGTGGACCTGATAGTATAACAGCTATAGTTCTAAAGGTCTGTGCACCTAAGTTGTCTCCTGTGTTGACACGCTTGTTCCGCCTCTCATTCAGGACTGGAATAGTGCCTAAATCATGGAAGCTGGCCAATGTGCAGCCTGTGCCTAAAAAAAGGTAGCCGTACCGATCCTGTCATCGGCCTTTTAATTACCTCCATACTCTGCAAGATTATGGAGCGTATATTGAACGTCCAGGTCATGGCATACCTAGAGTAAAAATTATCTCCTCAGTGATCGCCAGTACGGGTTTCGCCGAAATCGATTAACTGGAGACCTTCTAGCGTATGCCACTCACATATGGGGCGAAGTTCTCGAGAACAGTGGTGAAGCACTTGCTGTTTCGCTCGATGTTTCAAAGGCTTTTGACAGGGTTTGGCACGCTAGTCTATTGGGCAAGCTTTCAGCATACGGCTTATCCCCTGGCCTAATTGTCTGGGTGAAGGACTTTCTGAGTGAAAGGTCTCTCCGGGTCGTCGTTGATGGCTGCTCATCCAATACTGTGGTGACTAACGCCAGTGTTCCTCAGGGGTCCGTTCTCTCCGGAACTCTCTTCCTGCTGCATATAAATGATCTGCTCATTCCCGGTGTTTATGGGTATTCAGACGACAGCACAGTTGTGGAGAGAGCACCGAGCGCCCGGGCCAGTCGGGATCAAATCCAGTCAGAAAGAGAGGCTATGGTTGAGCGTGTGAGTCTCACACTACAGGCAGTCTCCGAATGGGGCGATGACAATCTCGTGAGATTTAACGCCTCCAAAACAAAAGCGTGTCTTTTTACCGCTAAAAGGAACCCGCTCACCTTGGCTCCTACTTTCCGGAATGTATCCTTGGAGTACACTGACCGCCTTCAGTTGTTTGGGATTGAATTTTCTCCGAACCTAAACTATGGGCGGTTCATTGAGTCGAGAGCCAAAGCAGCCGCAAGGAAACATGGTGTCCTTGCAAGGGTGCGGCGGTACTTTACGCCGGGGTAGATTCTTACCTTATATAAAGCGGAAGTCTGGTCGTGCATGGAGTATTGCTGTCACATATGGGCTGGTGCTGCAAAATACCACCTGGCAGCATTGGACTCAGTGGAGAGACGTGCTAAGAGGCTCATTGGTGACCTTGAATTGGTTGAAACTAATCTTGTCAGCCTCGAGCACAGGCGCAGATTAGCCAGTCTCTCGGTATTCTATAGGATACATTTCAGTGAGTGTGCGCAGGAATTACACGCATTAATTCCTCCCTCTCCTTTCCACCATCGGACAACCAGACGGTCGGCGGGTCTTCATCCCTTTGTTGTCGGTATTCCACGCATTAGAACTAAACGGTTTGTTTCGTCTTTTGTAATGCGTACAGCAAAGGAGTGGAATAATTTGCCGGCGTCTATCTTTCCGTCCGAATACAATCTAGGCGTCTTCAAGGCAAGAGTGAATAGGCTTTTGTTACGATAAGACAGTGCGATTTACCATCTAAGACTGCATCACCACTTACCACCACGTGGAATTGTGGTCAAGCACTGGTTTATAGGAAGTTAAAAAATGAGCCCCATTTACTCTATTTCCTGCGTTCACTCGTCGTTCTGTAACCTTCTCATCTACAATAAAAATAAATACGTTATAAAAATTCTTGTATCAATATTGTTAAGTATTATTGATATTTTGCCTTATCTAACTGTATGTTTAAGATATACAGGATGGTACATCTTACTGTAGAAATAATAATATATTATATTGGGATGGTTCTAGAATATTCACGCTTCTATAAATTTTTTTTCGTTCAAATAAAAATTAATAATCGAAATTAGTATAATCTGTTATAATTCATTATAGTATTAGTTATTATAGTATAAATTTCTACTTTGTAGGTCCACTGCTAAATTTAAGTCTATCGGTAAAAAAAGCAACTTTCGGCGGTACTGTTCAACTATCAAGGAGTAGAAAAGTATGAAAGTCTACTTGTGTGGATGTATGAATACCACACTTCATAAAAAAGTGGTATTCATAGTAGTTTTCCTAGTATGACTACTGAGAAATTTTCTTACCAAGTTGTTTAAATTATTACAAAAAAACTATTGCTAAATCCAATTGAGCATGCCCTAATCGTATTAAAAAATTACGTATAACATGATTATACGGAATTTTTTTAAAGTAGTTTATATCACTTATATGTATAATATGATTGCTAGATACGATTTCATGCGACAAAACGTTGGAATCTTGATTTTTAGGCGCTAGTAGAACATACGTACGCGCATTGCGCATACGGCATGCAAAAGTAGTCCTATTGTACAAAATACTGGGACTTTTTAAATGGTTAAATTAGGCCAAACAAAGTTTACATGAAATGCATAATTTAGAAAAAACAACTAAGGTACATAGATAGTGACGAAAAATTTTCCAGTGGTTACTATTTAGGTCTACTTGGTAAGATATCCCAGTAATATTACTTCTAAGACAACTTGGTAAGACTAATGTATCCGAATTGAAAAGACTGCTACCCTCCTATAAAAGTGGCTAAAATAATATGGTTGTGAGCTCGCACGTGATATTATAAGGCCTGCAATAAGAACAGAATACCATATAAGCAGATTATGATGGTTGAAGATTAGGTACGAAAGCTGTGCTCGGTTTAAATTTACAATACGTGTATAACCCGACTTCATACTCTATCAATACCAATAAAATTGTTAATATTAACTCTAAGAGCTAACTTATCAGGTGATAAGCGGTGGAGGAATAACGTCATGTTGGATTATATAAGTTTAAGCGATTATAAAAATTTGATTATTTTCAGGGCCCAGCAAAGTTAATAAACACTAATTGGGCCAATGCAATGTAGGTACTCATTTCTGATCCAGGACTGTTTCAGAAATGAGATGAAACAGTGTAGTTTTAAAATTTTAACTAGGAAAATTCGTGAGCAAATTTCGAATTTTTTTTGAGCCCATCTACTAATTTTTGTTAGTTTTTTTTTTATAGGATAGGGTGACAAACGAGCACACAGTCCATCTGATGGTAAGTGGTTGTTGTGACTCATAGACATCTACATTTATCCTCAATAAAGAATCAAAATACAAATGCGTCGTCACCTATGAGGACTAATATGGATTGTCTCTTTTCCAGTATAATGGGTCTCCGGTTCTCTACACTCAACATACGAAACACAGCAGCGTTAAGCTGCTATTTTACGCTGGTATTCTGTGAGAGCGTGGTCCTTCCCCGGTCGAGCCAACCCATTCGTGCTACAACTATGCTACTAATATAGCTGCAGCATAGCTCTACCACGTATAAAAGTTAGTCTGATTGATACTTGTTCCACGCTAACAATGTCACGGGAACAGCTATAAATCAATAATAAGCAGACATTTAATTCAAATTAGAATTTCTTTATTTGACGTTAATACGGTAAATATTATGCTGTTACGTACAGTAAACATTAGTTGTTTCTTATAATTTTTCCAAATTAGCAAATTCAGGTGACAACAAGTTCTAAAATGCTAATTTATTCAATGCGAATTTGAATTTTGAATTATTGTGAATTATTCATGAAAATATAATTCATATTGTAATGAATAATACACAATTTCAGTCGTAGTATTTTTTAATTTATTAAATCATCGACGTTATGTCATGTTGTCATTAGAATTAAATAGCAAATTTTCTTTTTGCTGTCCGTGAAAACGTTCCACTTTGTATAGTAAAACACAGATAATATATACTCTTTGTTATATGCTAAGTGGGGATCATACCAGTCCCGGGGAAAATTCATATCAGTTAGTTCAATCATAACTAACAAATTTATGAAAATAAGGAAAATCGACAGCTTAAATCATATCATTAGGTGTTGTGACCGCAAATTTCTCAATTTTTCAGTGAATTATACACTAACGTGTTCTTAAATTAAGTGCTATTGTTCGCAGTCACAAATTATACAAAAAAGTTTGCTGGTTTAGTTAAAATTAACGTAGTTTCCTTTTGTCGTAGTTGAAAAAATAAAATCACGTGGGCGTGCCTTGTGTTTCTGGTGCTCCTTGCCTGAAAAGGAGAATGGTGAGGAGAGGTCCTCCCCCGAGAAGGGGGTGCCATGGGGCGGCTGGCGCTGGTGGGGCCGCGGATGTGTGCGAAGGCGTTCCCGTAGCCCTGCCAATATGCGGCGAAGGTGTAACACCATTGGGTTTTAGTCGGTGCGAGTCCGACATAACCCATCCTTGCCCCCACGAGTATTTTTTCGAGAGAGAGTTTTTTTACATGGTGACATGCCTACGCATACCCGCGTAGGCATGTCCCCATGTAAAAAAAAAAGTATGCTACTATTTTTATACTAGGGCTTATTTCAGAAAATCAAATTAATTTAATTTTTTAAGGATGAACTGATATGGATTTTTTTCCCAGGACTGGTATGACCCCCACTCTCAACCTGTGCCCGCTTGACATTGAGTTTCGGAACATGTTGTATATAGTCTTTTGATAACTTGTTTGCTTTAGCGATAAACTCTCTTTACTAGTGCATATTTCATAATTGTTTTTTGTTGGTCTTTCACAGCAATATACACATTACATTTAAATTATAACCAATATATTTATCTTTAAAGCATTTAGTTATTATTGTGATAAAATGGATAAGACAGTGAATGGGAAAACTGTAGTGGTATCAGGGGCAGCCAGTGGAATTGGTTATGAAATTATTGAAAATTTTCTGCTAAGAGGAGCAAAGCTTGTTATTTTACTCGACATCAACGAAGATAAGGGATTTAAGGCGCAAAAAGCTTTGAACGAGAAATATGGAGACGGTAAAGCAGTTTTTTTCAAATGTGATGTTATATCTGATCTAGAACCAGTTGCAACAAAAATCTTCAACGAATTCCACCAGGTTGACGTCTTAGTAAATAACGCTGGAATAGTAGACGAAACATCTTATCTCAAAACAATTGAAATAAATCTAACAGCTGTGATTGCTTGGACAGAAAAGTTTTACGAATACATGAGGAAGGATAAAGAAGGCAATGGTGGCACTATTATAAATATTTCATCTATATACGGGTATAGGATTACAGAATATGCACCATTTTATAATGCAACCAATTTTGGTGTTTTGGGTTATTCAAAATCTTTAGGACATCCATTCCACTTTGAGAAAACCGGCGTCAGAGTGTTAACTATTTGTCCGGGAGTAACTAGAACAAATTTATTATATTCCTCCAAATTAAGAGATAATTTACTTACTCCTTTTACGATAGACGCGCATCAAAAGGATTGGCAAGACTCAGACATAGTTGGTCGGGAAATAGTTGAAGTATTTCAAAAAGCTGATAGTGGCAGCGCGTGGGTTATCGAATGTTCATTGCCGGCTGAAGAAATTTAAGCGTTATGTTTTAATTTTTAAAATATACAATATTTGTATTACTATAATTTCTAGACGAAAGGAGAAAGAAAACAGTGTCAAAGGTGCGAGACGTCTGGTGTTGCGATCGTCAATCTGCCTGCCAAGGCTATATTCTCCCTATAATGGGAAAGGTCCATGTCTAGCTGAGGACTTGTGCGGGATGATAAAGTAGAACAAAGAAACAATTATTAGTTTTAATTGAAGTGCAAGTAATGACTAAATAAATGTTATATTTTATTTTTTACACTTGAGAACTTATACTTATACTTAAGCCGTAGAAGCAATTAAGTCTAGTAGGAATCGGCGCATGAGTACCGAAAGCTATTAAAATTGTCCTACTGATGATATAAATGCTTGTAAAGATATTTTTTTTAATTTCTTAGACAAAAGTTAATATTATTCTTAAGCGATAATAAAATAATAATATTTTATACATTTCTTTACAGATTTTCAATGAATCAAAAGCGTCTAAATTTGGGATTTTTTCAACCATTTAAAAATTCATAACTCGGAAAATATTAACTTTATCGCAAAAAAATCGTATGAACTTTTTTATTCGTATTTTATCAAATAGTATTAAATAATGTGCCGTTTGAAGACAACGATTCCTTGCAATTGCATAAAAAATCGATTCAAACAATATGGCACCAAGTTGCCCCATGCATTTATATCATCAGTGGGACTATTCGAACAGAATCGCAAAAAAACAATTGAGGTGAAATAGTTTTCGGTACTCATGTGCCGATTCCTCCTGGACTGTTGTGTATATTTATAAATTTTATGTCATTCATATTTTTAACACACGAATAATAATGCAAATTTTAATGGCATTACAGCATTAATTATATGTATATATACAGTAAACCATTTTAGTTAGTGTACTGTTTCCGGATAAAATTAACTTGTCATTTTAAAAGTTTTTTTTTCCTTTTTACATTATACTAATATATATTTAAATATCCCTACAAATAAAGATATTAGCACTTAAAGGAATAAATAGGATTGTGGACAAATGCCGATTTTTGATAATTATATTTAGTAAATTGTGAAATTATCAAAAAAATAATATGAATAATCCGCTGGTCTATGTCAATTACTCTTGTTTTTCTGTGAGTAACTTCGTTACGGAACATCCCGAATCAGTAAGCTAAAGTGGCAATAGGCCGATTATATAGCTTGAAGAATCGATACTGAAGAAATATTCTTGAGTTGAAGCCTCGCACTGGCAAGCGAACATTTAAGCAACCCAATAGATGGAGTGACGATCTGATAAAACACGCAGGTAGTCGATGAATGCAGGTAGCAATTTATAGGTTGAGGTAATTTAAAAGAGGAACTAAGGAACTGATAGTGATAGTAAATATAAAATGTATTCGCTATGATCACACGACTCTTCTCACACTATGACTTCAGCCCATCATATTTATCATTCATTGCTCAGTTAAAAGAAAATAATTTGTGTATAGTTGTACATATATATATAATGTTATAGTAAAATAATAATAAAAATAATTTAAAAAATCATTATAAGAGCGTCATTTACTTAAATCAAGTGAGCCGTGTGCTCGTTTACCCCATCCTCTTAAAAATCATCACTGTTTCAAACTATAGCTGTTGGTTTCGTCAAATGATTATAGTTTTTTTTTACATCATTACAATACTATGGACGAATGATGTATGAAAATCGAAATACTACAAAATTTCCTATTTGGGTTTTGTTCACCCCGATTGCCAGTCTCAAGCCCCGCTCCATTGGTTTGCGTTTCCTTCATATAATTGACGTTAACAATTATCATCATTACAATAATGTAACACCCTAGAATGAAGTCTACTAATAAATTAGGCGATATATTGATGGGCCAAAAAAGTGTACCCTTAACAGACGTGACGGCGCTTAATATAAGCGTAAATTTATGAATTTATGAAAAGAAGCGTCCGTTGCCACTGCTTGTGGATGAAAATACTATAAAAACTCCGTTAAAATCCTTAAAAAAACAAATTTGATAATGTGTATATTGCATTTTTAAATATTACTTACCATTAATAATAATAATAGGCCGGGGAAAAGTTTCTCCGTATTTTGTTTGAATAAAATTAAAAAGAAAATCTTATAGGTTGTATTATTTTAATCTGGCTGATTTTAATATCAATAAATAAGTTATTTAAGAAAATAAAGGACCTTAATAAGCACTTTCCCGCCATTTTCAAATCATTTTCTTGTCCGCCAAATTGAGTGTATCTAACGAAGAAATTCGATACAGTCTGAATATTTATTATAAAAAAGGGAAAATTGTGACTCAAGCCGCAAATAAAATTTGTGACATTTATGAACCTAATGCAGTATCAGTAAGAGTAACACAGAGTTGGTTTAAGCGTTTACAGTCCGGGAACTTCGATGTCAAAGATACAGCCCGCTCTGGTCATCCTCATACGGATAAAGTCGATGTAATTTTTGAAAAAGTGGAGCAAGATCTACATATTAAAAAAAAACAACATAACCGAGGAATTGATGATTGACCACAAAACGGTCTTTACCCATTTGAAAAAGTTTGGCTAAACAAAAAAGCTCGATATTTGGGGATACCACACTAGCTCACTCAAACAAACCTAATAAATCGTGTACTAATTGACACTGACCCATTTTTGAAAAAATTGACCACTTAGGACAAAAGGTGCGAAAAATATCATAGTCAAAGGGTAGTCTAGCTCTACAGACTGTAGCAAAACCTGGATTAACACGCAATGAGGTGATGCTGTGCGTATGGTAGTATAAGAAGGGTATCACTTATTTTGAGCTTTTACCGCCGGGCAAAGCCATCTATTCAGAGTTCTACTGCCAACAACTAATGAGACTCAAGCAAGAAATTGGGAAAAAACGGCTGAAATTGATCAACAGAAAAAGAAGTCGTCTTTCATCATGGCAACGCCAGACCACACACATCTTTGGCCTCTTATTTCGAAAAATAATTTTGAGGCCAATAGAACTGAAAGATAAAATAATTCATTTAAAGAAACAGAAAATGTCTTTAAATATATTCCTTATAAATGCCCCTCGTGTGGAAAGTGCAGGCATGAACAGTAGACAGTTATGTATTACTAAATTGCCAACCAATAGGAGTCTTTGCGATTGATCGTCACCATGGCAACATCTGCTTGCTTCTTTGGCGTAGCGATTTCAAAAATTTGCAATACAAACAACATGTTTTCTACTATACGGTCACTCAACTGAATTAATATCCGCAGCACTCCGCTCAAACATTAGCTGACTTGGGCCGATTGTAAAGGCATAGTCCGGATTTATTAAATAATAATATATTTAATAATTTTTTTTATTTAAAATTTACAACAACAAAAAATCATTAAAAATATTTATATTTACAAAAATTCCGCTTAAAACAATAACTGCTCGGGGCAAACTCAGCAACAATACCAAGGCGACCCCTGCCACGCTATCCGTGAATGTCTGCAACATCAGGGGCTTCACTCGAACCTAAACGCCGTCCACTACCAACTCGAGACGGCGAAGCCAGTCTTGCTCTTTCTGACCGAAATGCAGGTGTCGTCTCCGGCTGATACTTCGTATCTCTCCTACCCGGGGAACAAATTGGAGCACTCCTTAGTGCCTCGGGCTGGAGTTTGCGTATACGACAGACAGGACATATGTTCTCGACGCCTCGGCAGTCTTGAAGGTTCGGACCTGTCCATCCTTTGGCTACGCGTAGACAGCGACGACCATCCGCGCGTCTACGGGTGCCTCTATAGGTCTCATAGCGGTAATGCCGAAACAGACTGACTCATCGACCACGTCAAAATGGCTACAGATTCTTTACTAAAACAGGTCCCATCTGCAGAGATCGTGATCCTTGGCGAGCTCTTTCTTAAAGTCCACCATGCCAAATGGCTCGGTTCACGTTTAACCGATCATGCGGAGCGATCTGTTTATGACTTTGCCTTGGCATATGGTCTGACACAACTGGTTACATCGCCTACGCGGATTCCAGATGTTGAGGATCATACACCTTCCCTGTTGGACCTTCTGCGGACCTCTCATCCGGAAGTATAGCAGGTTTCTGTCGATGCCCTTCTCGGCTCTTCGGACCATTGTCTGATCCGGAGTGTGGTGCCACTCACGCTCCCCTCGCGGTTGCGTTCTGCAGGTTGTGCCGTATTTGGCATTACAGTTCGGCGGATTGGTAAATGAGATGACGGATCTAAACGACAGGAACTATTTGAATCATCATATACCGAAGCAAAACAACAAGAGAATATATTGCATATTTCAACTCCGCTAGTAGGAGTTTTAACACCGTAATTCATAGCAGCTGGATACGAGTTAGAATTATTGCGTTTATTCTTTAGGAACGAACGTTAAATATAAGATCCATGCGTAAAAACTTTAATGAAATATTGGTGTTGTTGGATGAATATTTAAATAAGCTATAAATTATAGTATTAACTGAAATAAATTTAAAAGAATATGAAATACCATTGTACCATATACCGGACTACAATACACATGCATATACAAGAAATAGTCGATGAGGGGGAGAAGTTTTAATGTTTATCAAAGATACAATACCCACTGAATGTAGCGGTATTTCTTGTGAGGTATTGCATGGCCTTATGACAATAAAGAATGAACGACTTATATACGTTATCGTCGTGTACAGGCCTCCACATACTAATAAAAATAGATTTGTGGAAGAATTGGATGAATTATTTCGGGGTGTCCCAGCGACGACTGATATTATCCTGGCGGGTGATGTCAACATTAACATATTGCACGGTACAGTAAATTCGTCAACATCGAGATATAAAGACATGTTATATCAGTACGGGTTGCAGTGTGCGTATGATGACGTCACGAGAGAAGAGATAATATAGGCCTTTTAATAAATTTATGGCGTGATCGTCTTAGTTAGGACCCTTATTTACGTTGTGTTTGTATAGTAACTTAGTTCTTTTAGGTGTATCTTGCA